GAAGGGGAAGGGGAAGGGGAAGGGGAAGGGGAAGGGGAAGGGGAAGGGGAAGGAGAAGGAGAAGGAGAAGGAGAAGGAGAAGGAGAAGGAGAAGGAGAAGGAGAAGGAGAAGGAGAAGGAGAAGGAGAAGGAGAAGGAGAAGAACTAGTAGTTGTTTGTCAACCAGGGCCAGAGTAAAGGAAAGGGGAAACAGAGTTATCTAAGGCAAGGTAATTGATTTCAAAGAGGCAGTGAAATGGGATGAGGAAGTCCCGGAGTCTTCAAGCAGATAGATGGGATTGGTGTGGGTGGATGTATGGAATCCTGAGTACAGAAGGAATAAACTGAGAGGGCCCAGTTAAAGCAGAGGTAGAATATCATTCCAAAGGCAATCGGGAGAAGAAACTGTTTAAGCAGGGCAGTTAATAACCAGATTTGTTTCTTAAATGTTGGATCTTACTGACCCAGTTAGACGGCGTTCTGGTTTTGGCTTTTGAAAGAGTGTGTTCTGCTTGAGCAATGTGAAGATCTTGATTTTCAGGCGTCGACAAGGCATGTGTCCAGTATGCTCTCTTCTACCCTAGTACCCACTTGTGCCAATGACGTTGGGCCAAGAATGTGACTTTTTACCCGAGTCTGTCCTTAAAATGCCTTGCCTCTTCAGCTAGGGTTGGGTAAATACACACAGCTTTTCGTCGGTCTAGACCTTAGTTTTTCCATTTTGGTACGTTTTCTTAAAACGCACTGCTTGGAATTTGGGTCTTCTTTTCCCAGGCACTTCGATCTCTGGGACGCCTGCTGCCCGAAGCCACGCCCACCTAAGAAGTTGCCGAAGCAGAAAATTTGTCCCTCCCGGCGCGCCGTTCTGACGTAGACAGACGCAGGCGCAGTCTCCGACTCAGCGGCGTGTTCTTCCCTCAAGTTCCTGGTATCTCGGCGGGAGCGCGACGCCGGCTTTCTGCGGTCTCCCTGCCCCGGCGGCCGCCTCGGGACTGTCGCCCTCTGTCTTTCAGCTAGGGGCCAGTGCTTGTGCGCGCACGCCTCCTCACGCGACCAACTCATGGCGGAGCGCGGGGAACTCGATCTGACCGGCGCCAAACAGAACACGGGAGTGTGGCTGGTCAAGGTGAGACGCGAGCCCCATGGGGCGCTTCCCAAAGTTCTGTTGCGTCCGTTTACAGGTTAGAGAACTCTCGGGGACACAGGACGCATTTCACCCCGCCTCTCAGTTCCATCCGCACAGCGTGGAGCTCTCTCTCGACCGCCAAGACCCTGGGGTGCTGGCCCGACGGTCCCTGAGTGAGCAGTACCTTTTACCCCGGGGCCTGAGAAGTCCTTGCGTTCTTTTTGGTGAAGTTGACTGTAGTCAGCAATCTGTCTAAGTTAGTTGTTGAATAGATGTTCTGTACTGTTTTCTGGGCCACAGAGTGGAACTGGTCCCCGTGTACAATTTTTGGGGGGGGGGTTGAGGGGAGGACGACAGAATCTCACTCTGTGGTCCTGGCTGGCTTCGTATTCGAGACGTAGAACCCTGCCTCTGTACACGGCTAAAGTGTTTCCTGGGTTGTTAATCCTGATGGAGTTCTCTGGAAAGACCTAGAAGTTTGTGGATACAAGGAGAAACTGTTGGAGTTGATGTCTTTTTGTTTTGTTTTGTTTTTTCGAGACAAGTTTTCTCTCTGTCGCCTTGGTTGTCCTGGATTCACTTTGTAGGCCAGGCTGGCTTCAAACTCACAGAGATCCTCCTGCCTCTGCCTCCCCAAGTGCAGGGATTAAAGGCTTGCGCCTTGGTTTGGATTTAGTCTTTTTAAAGAGCACGTTTCGGTCTCATGAAACTAAATATTTCATATAGTCATGGCAATAACTATTTTTCTGGGTTACTTTTTCATATTTGGGCGCTGTTACTCTTTGGGGAATTTCATTTTTAAAAACCATGTTTAAATGGGGTCATGAAAGTTTCCCAAACTCAAAGGAACTTTTGATTTATGAATGTTTTATCTTTATAATGAATGTCAA